CCGCGCGGTGAGGGCCAACGCGGCCGGAGGGGCAGCGGAGCGGGCGGCGTGCACCCCTGTCCGGTGGTTAATCCGTGGGAGCTGAGCGAAACGCGCCTCTTCCCGTGCTAGGTGCCTGGCGATGGCAGGGTTGTCGCTGCGTTTTCTGTTTGGGGAGCTGGATTACGTTCGTATACATAATCCAACTTCTCCGCTGGCGTTCGTTCCCCTGTGCCGCCGCAGTCCTGGCTCTGGGGCGGTTTGTGCCGGAGACGTGCTTGAGGATTAGAGCGTGCTGAGAGCCTTTCGTTCCCACTGAAATTAGTGTTAACGTATTTCCAGTCTGTTTTTATCGGTCAATCTGTTTAAACCCGTGTGCCTAACAGTGAATGGATTCATTGGTCAGGTGTTGCATCCTGCCGTTTTCTTGCGGTGGGCGGAGGCAAGAGTGGTCCGAGTCTGCCCTCGGCTGACAGCCCCGCGGCTCCTCGAGGGGCGCCGACAAGCTGTTGGCCAATAAGCGCTAGCAACCCTCTCTTCGTCCACTTTCAGCAGTGCAGAACCTCAGACAAGAAGCTTTATTGCTGTTGAAAATACTACTCTAATGGTTATTTAACCTGGAAGCTATTCCCACAGCGCCAAAGAGGTGTTATGTCGGTTAACTATGTATTTACTTGTGAGAACTCTTGAGTTTTTTTGATTCCTTCACTTAACTTCCTATAAATATGTTTTTTTCTTGAATGGTAAAGGCATGCATGGCTCAGATTTAGAAAGGTTTTCGTAAAATATTATGAGCTGAGTAAAGCCACTACGTTTGCCGCATTACTCGTGATGTTCTGCTGTCAAATGGATTTGCACATCGTAGATAGTATGATCCTCACCAGCAGTCTTTAGGAAGCCTGGTTTATTTTCATACTGTGTACACAGAATTAAGAATTCCTCTCAATTCTTTGTTCGCTGCCGTATTGTGACGTTAGTGATATTTCCCTTGGGCTGGGGAGGGGGACAGGAGGGAGCTGTACCGACAAGCTGGTTTCCGGGCACAGGGCAGGCTGAGGAAGGGTGATGATATCCCAGCTGCCGTGCAGCAGGTACGTAGGTCACAGCTGTCCGGGTTCCCTTGAGCGTAGTGGAGGCTTTTGCAGAATGAATTTGCGTGATGGACTCATTGCAGGGATCTACATAGAAATCTGACAAAGTATCCTTTTACGTGGAAATAATCCTCCTGTATTTTTGAAATCTTGAAAATGCTCGGTAATGAATGCGTGCTTTTTCAGGTCATTGAGCGCGCTCGGGAAACCGTGGGCTGTTGCCTTTGAGAGTTAGATTCTGGCAAATTGGAAAGCGCATTTCTATTTCGGTGGAAACGCGGAAACCTATTTGAACTTCAAAGGAGAGTAATACTGAACTTCCAATTTATAGGAAATGGGAAGGGTTCAGCCTTCTCTAGGCTTTTGTTTTCCCTAAAGACGATGTTTCTCTGCTAATTAAAAATACGCTACACAAACTTTTAATTTTCTTTGCTCACGAACGCATAGCCACAAGCAAGAACTGAGAATTTCCAGCTTCTTTGAAGTCTGTCTGACCCCAGCTCGTTCTCGTGAGGGAAGTACTCGCAGTCACTGGACCGGTGAAAGGCCTGGGGAGAGACCCAACCAGCGCAGAGCCAGTCCGTGCGTGGTCCCCAAAGAGGCAACGCACCCCGACGGACAGGAAGGAAAGGCTCAGGCTCCGCGAGCTGGTAGTGAGGTATAGTCCGCCTCCTCCAGGCAGAGGGGACTACAAATGTGGGTGTTCAGCCGCTGGCTCGGGGGTAGGAGCCAGACACTGGGGACAGTGGCACTGTGCCCCGTCCGGGGGGCGGGAGAGCTCCCGCCGGCTGGGCCCGCTCCAGGCCTCCTCCTACTGCTTAAATTGGTGGAACCCAAAGAGAAGATCTAAATAGCTGCTCATTTAAGACTGTTTTAAGTCTAAGGCAGGACTGAAATTCTCAAGCCAGCACAAATTTCTACTGTAGCTGCTGCTTAAACTGGCAGCCAGGGCTAACAGCTCCTACGGCGGCTTTGGCTCTCGTTTGTCCGCGTAATACCTAGCACCCAATTTTCCGTGGTTGATGAGAGAACTGATCACAAACTGAAATGCTGCGGTCTTAAATGCAGTGTATCTGCAGAAGCATGTTTTATATAATATGTTAAATTAAGCTTCTTACAGTGTCCGTTTTATAATACATTTTATAATATTTGCAGTGATGCTATCTCTGAATTTGTATGGAAGAATTTGAAACGATTCAACAGATGCATTTGGATGCCGTGCAACCTTTTTAATAAACAGAAGACAAAACATGAAAATTAATTCTAGGTAGCTATTTCAGAAGTTGCTGCAGCCATAACGCCTCAGGATAGGCATCTGACCACATCTGCATTCACGCAGAGCACTCTGACGTTTCTGAGCTTTATTTACTTGTATTTTATTCTGTGTGCACGGTGTCAGTTTGGGTTGGTTATGACCACATGAGAAGGTCAAAAAACATGTGAGTGGTAGAAAAAGGCTGCAATGGAAATTGGATATTCATGGGGAAGGCTCTGGAAAAGCACTTTGTGGATTCTTTGCACTTGGGATGTATGGCAAAAAAGGTTGCCATCGGCAGAGATGCCGTAGTTCATGTATTCCTTTGCATAAGTCATACAAGCGTCCGCATTTAGCAAAAAAATATTTACCAAATATTTTTCACATCAATGATAAGCAGTAAAACTAAGGGTACATAGCTAGAGAGTGAGAATATGTTGTCATCTGACAATGGATTGCTCTTAAGTTTTAAATGATCACAGATAAAATCTTCTTTTGAGATAACTCCGGTGTAGTGTATATTGTTGAACCAGGACTGCATGCTTATTCTGGAGTTTTGCAGGTAGTGCGATAGCAAGTGAAGTATAGTTTTTCAAAGATGTGAGTGATTCTGTACGCTGCATCTGTGCCCCGATTCAGTAAATTGTCTACCCGCTTGCTATCCTGGAATTTTGCAGAAGACTTCAAAATTGATTTGTTTGTTTTTGCATCTTGTACCAGCTCTTTTGGCAAATAAGCTGGGCACGGCTATTTCTATCCTTTCTAGTTCTCTACAAATTTCATTGATATATTTGACCAGAATCACCTGATACATGTCTTTAAATTTAGAACAATGCTGTTGACTAAAACCCTAGAAGTAATGATATTATTTAATTTGTTGATAATTAATTGTATCCAGTATACAACTGGAGACTCGGGAAATAAATATACCCCACATCAGCCTGCAGACATGCTATATAGTTAACTATGTTTGTAGTCCTGTGGCGGCTTTTCAGATGAGAGCTCAATGTTGAGGTCACCACTGCCAGCAGTCCCTGGACGACCTCCTTGCCTCCGCGTTATGCAGGGGAGGGGAAGATCAGGCTCGGTCGTGGCCTGGTCCATAACGAGGATGAGCCATTTCTCCTGCGGTGCCGGCACCAGCGATATGGTGGGGTGGGCCACGTCTTTTGTTTCTTTCCAGCTTTGCTTTGCTCTCCCTGTGATGAAGGGGGTCCACAGACTCCTCGTGGCTTCCTCCCAGGCAGGGTTTGGCTTCTCCAGTCAGATTGCTCTCCTGTTGGATTATAATCACATTGCAGCAGTGTAAACTCTGCAGAAAAAGCTTTCTGTAGAGTGTCTGCCTGGTGCAGCATTCAGTGCGCGCAGAAAACCCGTTCCCTGTAAAGGACAGCTGCAGCGCCGTTCAGACAACGTACAAGCGAACGACTGTGGCAGAGGCGTGTACAGTATTTACCTATGTCATACAACCACCTTCTTAGCTCCAGCTGCTGCAGTTGCTGACCTGACGTTACAATATACAGATGTACGACAGCCCGTTTTCCCATTTTTTTGCCCCTTCCCTCTTGATGAAACCTAGAGTTTAAATCTGTCAAAGACAACTTGCATTCCTTGTCACTGGGGTTTGTAATTCCTGAAAAAGCACTGAAAAAAGCTCTGTACTTTTTAATGTACATTGAAGAGATATTAATAAAATATTCCAGGAGATGGATTGGTCACTCAGATTGCTGCAAAGCTCTGTGGGTTCAGATGATGGGTTTTAGGCTATGCAGTGACAAACTGGAGCAGAGCAGCGAGGCACCACTGTGGCGTTCAGGGGCATAAAGTTCCAGGAAGCTGGAAGATCAGAAACAGGGTGGTTTTGGTTTTTTTCCCCCACTGGTATGCTTTTACTTTGCAGAATGATTTTATTTTCAAGTGGTTGTTACAAAAGATTCTGTAACACCCCCACGTAGCATCTGTACCTTTTACACACTTGCTACTTATAATGTAGAGACAAAAGAAAAGTGCTTTTGAAAAATACCAAGAGGGTATGCTCCTGTTACTGCTTTTATTTAATTTGTATATCGAACATAATAATCAAATATGTAATGAAACACTGAAACTTGAAGATTCATTCTGAAATCCAAAATTCCTGCCTTTATTCCTGGAAGCGTTGGGTTCTTGCCTCCTTATGTAATAGTACATAACATAGGTGCCCTACCCTTAAGGGAAGGCTTTACTATTTTCTGCTCTTTTCCATCCACTTGGGACTGTGTTGTCTTATGCCTTGATGGTGTCTGTTACCCAGCCGAAGTCTTATTATTTTCTAAATATAATGAGAAATGGAATTTAGTGAAGAATTTTGCTGATGACACAAAAGAAAGAAAAGTCCAGCTATTTTTCACTTGGCTGTCTTGACAAGAAATACAAAGTGATAGAGATGAATGTATTTTAGTCTTCAGCGTGAACAGCTATGACTCTCTAAGTACATACGGAGTAGATGGAATGGGCATCCATCCATCCAAAGTACAGGAAAATTTAAATTTAATCTTCATTTCAAACTATTATGAGCAAGCTCAAGCTTCTCTTAAGCAAAAGCATCATTAGCAGTTTGCTGGGCACTAAAAAGCAATACCATAAAATGGAGGAGATTGCTGCTGTCTTTCTCCTTTAGAATCCGTGGGCTGTTCCTGCAGTCGTAGTGGAAATAGCTGTGGTCACGTCTACACGAGGAGAATGTCCCTTTTTTGCTCCTTTGCATAGTTTCATTTAAACAACTACTTTTTTTTTTTTTTTAATGACAGTATGTGTGTCAAAACTCACCTCAGATAGCTGTGGTTTGGTGGAGTTGAACGGCTTCAACAGCTTTCCATTACAAGTTTCTCATTGTTTCATTTCAGTTTCTCCGAAGATATTTCGTATTTCAAATGACCTCGTTGTGAACGAAGGAAGCAACGTTACTCTCGTGTGCTTGGCCACAGGGAAGCCAGAGCCTTCCATTTCGTGGAGACATATCTCTCCATCTGGTAAGCGCAAATATTCCCTCACTGAGAGGTTTGTGCTAAGTTTCACTGGTAGCAGGCTTTGCTTTTTCTGTTTTTGAGAGTGTGACAGCATTACTTTTGTATGCCTTAAAAATGTATGTGCTCAACAAGTTGTTTAGAAGAGAGAAGCTTCCTCAGATTTCAGCTGAGGTCAGTGAAAACTGTGCTATTGCTTAGAACGGGAATGTAAGATTAGAATGTAGAAATAGAGACATGGAGAAATAGAGACCCTAAATATGAGTATATTTTTAATTTGGGCCTAAGTGACTTCCCAAGGACACGGGAAGGAGGTAGTAATCGGATGCGATAGGATGCGAGTTCGGAGCAGAAGCTCGTCTGGCAGACTGTAGACGTTTATCAAACCATTCCTATTGAAACAGCAACAAGGAAACCAACAAGAACACAAACGGCTCGCGAGAGCCAGGAAGAAAAGTTAAAAACATTAACATGTCATGCAATAAATTTAATTTAGTTTCACTACCGCTGAGCCTTACAGTTATCCTATGATACAGCATAGTTTATTTAGATGGTTTTATTGAAGAAATTAAATTCTATATGAAAAATTGCAAGAAAAATGGCATCTAAAAGTATAGTTTCTATTTAATTGCATATTTTCTTTTTTATTTTTTATGTATTCACACAAATACAGAATTCCTCATCATATATTAAAGGAAGTCTTTCCTTGTAGCTAACATTACAAGCATGTCTGCATTGGTTGACTGTCTGCACTGGTTCAGAGACACCTCGCAGATACAAGGCAACTCATTGCAAGCTATCTTAAGTGGAGAGCTGCACCATATATTCAGTGCCTGAAGCTGTATAAATATCTAGTCTCATCATTGAAATGCTGTTTGGAAGAGATCTACAGAGGTATTTAATCAGCTCTCCCCCTCACCTGCCCTTTTTCCTTTCTCTCCTTCACTAAGAACGGAAGAAGCCTTGGCTCTGTACCTCAAAGTTACCAGTTTTGGAAATTCTGATGGCTCATATTTTTAAGAGGCTACCTCCCTGCTGCCTGCCTGTCATATGCAACACTAATATAGCACTAGTTCTTTTATATGGCTTCTGTGATTATAATTCATTTTGAATTGAAGGTCTTTTTGTTTGCTCACACAACTTTTCTGAAATGCATGTAATTGCAGGGAAGAATATTTTCATGGACTGTCACAGCTTACCACAGTGTGTCATAATACTGAGTAACAGTTTGCTTTACAAAGCAAGATTTGAAAAAAAAATAACTTTTGACCTTTAAAATAACGACAATGAATTCAGCTTGAACTGTCCATCAATGGACTAGGGGAAAAAATCCATTGTAGCAAAAAATAGGGTTTTTAACTAAATGTCAAACAAATTTTTTTGGAAACTGTGCTGACACTTTAGAGTTACAGCTTAAAAAATTAGATTGTGTACAGAAGGGAGCAATTTTCCTGAAAAGGGAAAAAACAGAAAAGGAGAATTAGCGCACTCAAGGTGGACGAAGGGTAGGAGGAGGAAGTAGATCATCCTCATCTTAGAGTTCAGGCAAAACAAACACATGTAATCACAAGGGCTTGCAGTAAACCCACTGATTTTGTGTCTTGACCAAAGGACTGAGAATGGCAAGAGGAAAAATGTGATCCATTCATCTGCGGTCTTATTAGACTTAGCACAACAAATATTTAAAAAGAAATCTGAAGAAAAGACTGATCAAAGATACCATGCTACATGCAGAGTAAATCAAAATGCTCTGGGCGCGACTGTGCTGTGCTCTTACAGAGCTGACTGGATTTAGCACAGCCAACTGAAGGCTGAAAGGTATATTTTTGTACTCAGCAGCTCTCACTACCAAAGACTTAAGAGCCAGGCAAATACAGCCTGCTCTTTGCTTCCCCCCACTACTTCAGCTTTCTGAGACCTGGCTCATTCTGCTTCCTGATTCATTCTTTGAAGCTTATATGAATAACACCTGTAGGAGAGAGCAAAACACATTTACCATATAATCACCATTTCATCTTCTCTGTTTGAGCATCCTGACCAAAGAACTGGCACATCTTAATGTAATCCTGCACATCTTCTATACCCGCTAGTCATTATCCTTCTAGGGTTTACTTTGGGATAGGGCTGCTTGTTGGGTTGTTTTTGCCATATCTCCTACTCTTTCATCAGGAAGCAATAGCTTAGCTGAAACACAAGCATGATCTTAACAAATCTGATACTTTAAAAAAAAAAAAAAAAAAAAAAAAAGCACAAAATCAAATCACAGAATCGTAGCGGTTGGCAGGGACCTCTGGAGATGGCCTGGTCCAGCCCCTGCTCAGGCAGGGTCGCCCAGAGCAGCTGCCCTGGACTGTGTTCAGGCAAGTTTGAGCATCTCCAAGGCTGGAGACGCCACAACCTCTCTGGGCAACCTGTTCCAGTATTCAACCACCCTCGCGGGAAAATCGTTCTGTTCAGACAGAATTTACTGTAATTTGTGCCCTTTGCCTCTTGTCCTGACGCTGGGCACCATGGAGAAGACTCTGGCTCCCTCCTCTTTCCTGACCCCATCAGGTATTTGTCCACCCTGCTGAGATGCCCCGGAGCCATCTCTTCTCCAGGCTGAGCAGTCCCAGCTCTCGCAGCCTCTGCTCGCGTGTCAGAGGCTCCGGCCCCTTCCTCATCTTCGTGGCCCTTGGCTGGACTCGCTGCAGCAGGTCCGTGGCTTTTTTGTACCAGGGAGCCCAGTCATGTTGTGTCTGTGTTGCCCAGTCACGAGTACATCATTAAAGCAGTTGGCGATACACCTCTCAAGAAACTGTAGTAACTGTGGCTGTAATTTGGTAGTAACAGAACTTAACACACGTTTACTGTCTCGAGGAGCACTGGAATCATCTCAGTCACAGCATTACTAATTGACTTGACTTCGGGATGCATTTAAACTGTTATGCTCAAAATCTTGTTTATAGGCAAAGAGGAAGCGCACCTTATATGCGTGTGTGCGTTTATAGATGTAAATGAAGTCAAGAATTTATTGTTAGTATAACTGAAGTCATAACATTCTGATTCAAGACTCATTATTAGTTTAAATCTGATTGTTACAGAAAAAAAGGAGGAGAATGCAGTTAAAATTGTTATGCACATACTTGGATTCTTTCCCTTTTCCTGGTGTTATCCTTCCCCCCCCCCCCCACAAACTCCTCCGCTCCCAACGTTGTTTTTTTTTCTAAGTTGGTCGTTTCAGTATGGTGTTAGGTTTTTGAGGGGCGCGGGGAGAGTTACGGCGAGTTGTCGGCGTCGGAGTTCTTCACCAGGAGGAATATGAAGTTCATGGTGGTGGTTCCTTCTTCTTTAGTATCCACTTGGAGTCATTTTTGTGTGTTTACCGATAGGCATTTAGACCTTTCCCTTTCTTCATTGGTCTACAGCTCCAAGTTACATCCAAATTTGCCATATTCGGTGCCTTTTACATAAGTTAGATACTATTTCTGTGTTTCTCTTTGCCCCCAAAACCAATTTTGTCCCGCTCCAGGTCTGCATTTCTTTGTCAGACCATGGTGTCCCCCAGGCCAAGCCTGTGCCCATCTCTCATCACCCCGTGCCTGTGCTCCTCCACTGCATTCTGTGTCTCCGCTTCTCAAGGCCTCTGCTGTCGTACCAGGCCTGTATTTCTGTACGCTGCGTGCATTGGTTTTAAATCTCTCATTCTACGTAGAACAACTGCTCGTGACTGCTCTCCATATACAGTTACGGTTGTACCTCACAAAGGTAAACCAATGTGAAATAAATTAGCCATAGGCACCTGGTCAGCTGGAGACATTGCTACCACAGCTAAACCAGAGCTGCAGGCAGGTCAAAAAAAAGTTCAGACAAGCCTCAGTCCTGAGGCCCTGCAAACTCGGTGCAAAGCTTATGGCCTGTTGCTGAGAATGGCGATCCTGTATTACAGGGCTGCATCATTAGAAGACCCATTTCCTACAAAACGTGAACACAGATAAGAGCACTAAGACATGCCTTAGTTGTCCCGTAGTTGATTAATGGACGGAACTCAGTCCTGAGTAGAAGGACAAGAGGGTCCAAATAACTTTTTGCTCAGAAATCCTGTAAAATACTATGGAAGCAGACACATAACTTACGGTCTCTCTGTCTACGAAATAAAGAAGAGTTTTTCCACTTCATTAGCAATGTACCATTTATGTGTTGAGGTGCATGTTCCAGTTTGCAGGCAGTTATAAATGGCACTCAACACCGATTAAAATCCTACCTGGCAAACAAGAAGCCTGGACTTATTAGCAAAAATGCAGGACAGTTGAAAATGTTAGCTTTCTGTAAGGGTTTATATTCTGCCTGCTGCAAATTACCTTTATCTAAACATGAAGTTCATCTGTTAGTTTATGTTTTCTATCAATTTTCTTCTATAATTCCCAGTGGCATTAATGAGGGTTACATACCAGTATCACATCCAGAATACAACACTAAATTATATTAAAGAATTATATTTATAATATTCTGAAACTGAAGCTTTGCCTGTTTGTCAAAGCTGCTACTAAAAGATAAGAAACTGAAATCTCTGAATACAAATGATTCAATGTAGACTAATTCCAAAATATTATCATGATTTGCATCAGTGCAGCCTTTACTTGGATAAGGTTGGATTCAATTTTTTTTTCGACAAGAGATAAAATGAACCTTTAATAGGAATAAAAATAAAATCTATTTAGAGGTGATTTTTAACTTAGTACATAAATTATTGGCCTGTAATCTTTATGTTACACATTTAACTTGCAGTCATTATGTAAATACATTCATTATATAAATATTCATTATACAAACCCATTATGTAAATCCACAAAATCTGCACATTCAGTGTAATATCATAAGGAAAATGGAGCTGAGGTTTGTAATCTGAAAATCTTGTATTGTTGAAATGTCATCTGAATAAATTGCAGGTATTACTTATTTTGTTCTGACATTTAAGAGCAAAGTGCAGCATCAATAGTTTAAGAACGAAACCAGAATTTTAAAGA